TCATGTTCTCCTAATAGAAAACTCAGATTTTCGGGTTCCATTTGAAATTTTGCGGCTCTGACAGGTTTCTTACTAGGAGAACATGATGCTAAAAGAGGTATAACAGAATTTCCCGCCTTTTTGTTTTGTTTATACTTTTCGGATACCTCCTTTGCTGTTATGTTCTCCTAGTATGAAGTCTCTCCAACCCGCGAAATTTGAAATGAAATGCGAAATTCTGAGTTTTGTATTAGGAGAACATGATACTAAAGGAGGTTTCCGAAAAAACGTAAACAAACCAAAAGGCGGGAGATTCTGGGATACCTCTTTTGCTATCATGTTCTCCTAATACTAAACTCAGATTTTCAGGTTCCATTTCAAATTTTGCGGCTCGGAGAGATTTCTTACTAGGAGAACATGATACTAAAGGAGGTATCCGAAAAACATAAACAAATCAAAAGGCGGGAAATTTCAGGCGGATCTCGAAATCTGTGTTTTGTATTAGGAGAACATGATGTCAAAGGAGGTTTCCGAAAAATGTAAACAATTAAAAGGGCGGGAAATTTCAATCGGATCTCGAAAAGTGAGGTTCTTATTAGGCGAACATGATACCAAAAGAGGTATCCGAAAAATCTAAACATTCGAGAAGCGGGAAATTTGAAGAAGATCTCCGAAATTCGAGTGTCTTACTAGAACAGCGTGATAATAAAGAAGATTCGCGACTCTCAGAATTTTATTTTTTTTCGGATACCTCCTTTACCATTATATTCCGCGGCTAGGTACGAAGAAATAAAAAACACAAGCTTTACAATATTAATTAATTAATTTATTTTCGCCCAGTTCTTAACATTAACATGTGTAGTACAAAAGCGTTGTAAATAATTTAATTATTCACTGTACACTCGCACTGAATCTTCGCTGATGATCGAGAAGAAGTATACACACTCCAACACTGCAAGCTGCAGTTGAAGCACACCAGTTTAACATTGAGATACTGCAAATATACGTAAATAATGTCAAACACAACTAAAGATTGTATGAAGGCAATAATTAGAATTTTAAGTTCCCTGGAATACCCGCGATGTCAGCGCCATCTACCAGGAAACTCTCAAGCTACTGGAAAAGTATTATAGCCACGGTTAGATGGCGCTGAACGTATTGCTGTCCATGTCATACAGTATCTCTTTCCTTGACTCGTAGAAGCAGCGCCATCTATAATAGAACGCCCAAGCTGCACACCAAATGGTACAGCAATGCACACGCTAGATGGCGGTCTAATACAGCTGCGCCATCTACAACAGAACGTCCAAGCTATTACCCAATTAGTACAGCCATACTGTCGGTAGATAGCCGGCCATATAGCACCACGTCGCCATCTACAATAGAACAACCAAGCTGCTCGCCAAATAGTACAACTACGCTCTCGCTAGATGGCAGGCCACACATTTTGTTGGCGCCATCTACAATAAAACGCTCAAGCTGCTAACCAAATAGTTCCAGCGTTTTTCCGTTAGATGTCCCCAATAAAGAAATATCTCTATCCTTGTCGCACCTCTATATCTCTCCTTGTCGCACCTCTATATCTCTCCTTGTGTTACTCATTACGTTCATACGGAACGCAAACACCTTCTCCGAGAAACGGTTATAACTCACTAATTACAACTCAAACGCAATCAAAACTGCTACCAGAATATTCCTACGTGTCCACTCTAATTTCTCTAATCACAAATGTTCACGAATTATGCCCATTGAATGAGAAACTCAATTATTTCCAAGGCAGCTGTAAAATAATTCTAGGTTAACTTTTGACATCTTCCCGAAGAATAATTAATAAACAATTAACGCGGAAAAAAATCGTATCCAAAGTGACATGAGAATGTAGGGGAAGTTCCATTCTATGATCCTAAATTGCAAATGTTAACAAATTATTCGTAATACTAGAGTTATTATTGAATTCGCTGATGCTTTACCCATCTACGCGTCGCCTTTAGTTTACAACTTCCACCGCTAGATGGCGTCACTAAATTTCTATGCCTGCGACCTCCTCGGTCCTGATGCTTCACACGTACGTACCAGGGACTGATGAGATGCTTTTTCCAAGGAGGTTGCACGAATGCGACTATTTCTGTCCTTGTCGCAAACTGTCTCCTTCCTTGTCTTACACGTTGCAGGTATATGAAGAAGCTTTGCAGACGCCCGTCCGCTAGATGGCGCTAGTGTCACTCGCTCCTATTTTCGCCCCTGCCGAACTGCAACCGTCTTTACACATGCATACTGCACCCTTATCTTTGCATTATCTTTTCTATACCTTCCCGTGGACCGATTTCGACGTTCTTGGGGTCAAATTAAAACTTATGAAACAAAGATAACGATGCTGCTACTGAACATTCGTAAGCGATACGGGAACAGACTGAAAATCGCTGTCAAACGACTGCTCGATGTTATCTGTGTCTGAGGGGTAGTTCAATTCTAAACCATTAATGAACTATAAATATTAGTTAGTTAATGTTCAACTCGATTTTGATAGATGTAGTTTTACAGATATATCTAAATTGTCCATTTTTAACTCTATAGTTTTCCAAATCTAAACAAACGAACATGTCTAGAAACAATAGAATAAACTATGCAATAAATACCCGTAAACCTAGCCTATTCTAATTTATTTTGATCTATTCTATCTATCTATCTATCTATTCTAATCTATTCTATCCTAATCTATTCTACGACTACACTGTTCAACGCTGGTCTACACTGACCTACTCCCCTCGACTCTCAAAACTACACTGCACCCCAAACGCCTTACAATGATCTTAAATACTAATCTCATCGACTCGGGCACGGTCATCAGCCTAACGATCAGAGTCCCAGGTCATAAACGATGTTTACAGTTGAAAAGAAAGACACGGTGGTTCAGTTCAGCACGTCGTTTATTTGAATAATTAAATAATTACTATGTCGTATCTTATAATATGGGAATGATATAATGGGAATATAAATGAAATGCACAACGCGAGTCAGCGAGTTACGTGTCAATTCTACCGACAATTTCGAACCACTGCCTTAAGGCATCGCTGAGTACCGCTGGCAAAGTGTCCATGTGTCGTAGAATAATATAAAATGGGAATGGGAAGTTGTCCATGTAAGATCGAATGCCCAGCAGCTTGCCACTCTCGAAAACTGGCATCCTGATATCCAGTATTGAATTCTGCAACATAATTAATGATTTTATCATTAATTATCTATGGTACCAACATTGTGAGACTAGAATTTCTTACCTTGTTGAGAGGGTTGTCAACGATTATGAAGACTAGGAAGATATTTAGCAGCTTGGCTCTTCTCACAGCTGCGTTCACCTTCTCCACTCCCTCAGAGAATATTCCTCTACCATCGGACAAGATGGTTATCAACTTTGCACTGTCAGTGGAACTGCTCTGGGATGATAACATGTCTATCGCGTAGTCTAGCAGTTGACCAATCATTGTCTTCTTCTGTTCAAACTTCATCTCTTGAATCAATCTGTAAGTTGGATCACATGTGATTAGTTAATTGATCATAATTGATCATAATTGATAATTGGTCCATTAAAAGCAATTAACCCCTTGCCCTATGATCACTTTTTCAACTCTGATAGGACTACTTTGTCTTGAATAATTCATTGGAAAGAGACAAGTTGTAGACATACTCTATGTTTACTTTGCTCTTGATTATAATTAATTACAGAATAATATTTGTGACTGTTTGTTAAATCATATTGAAAATCTTCACGAGCCTGACACGTTAAGGCAAGTTAACCCCGTGCACTCAAGAATAGTTTTCATTACATTCATTAATTTCTGATGAAATATTAACAATATTTGCAACTTACATAGAGGAACATCTTAAATTATGGGGCAGAATTATTTCTGTTTCATGTGTTAATACCTCATTCAACATTTTGAACCTTTCACTTATAATTTGGGAGGATTCATCTTTTAATTTTGGGGATTATAATTTCTGAGAGTGCAGAGGGTTAATTCCTTGTATACACACCTTGCGCCACTTTCCTCGGTGAAGTTCTCCCCGAACGGATGAATGATGTTCACCTGTTCCCCGAAGCTGACGACAGAAAACTGACCAACTTCTAAATACGTCAACGCTTTGCCGATCAACGAGAGTGACTCGAAGGCCAGTTCCTTCGAGTGATTATCCGCCATGCTGCTGGAGTCGTCAATCGCCAATACAATCTGGTAATCCCTCTTCGAGGGTTTCGTGCGTCTCAGCCAAATCTTGTCCTTCCGGAATTCGCTGGCAATGTAAGGGATTACCTTTCTCATGTTTATGCGCTTGCCTGTCCTATAGTCACCTTTCAACCTGGTCGTCAACGTCGGTTCCAACACCAGACGCAATTTCTCACTGAGTTCTCTGGCAGCTGACTCCGTCAGTGTACTGATAGAGCTCCAAGCATTCGCTGCTTCGACGGACGATGACTGTCGACTCCACTGAACTAACATGTCCACAATCTCAGACCTCTTCTTCGCGATATCCTCGGTGGAAATGCTCAATGATTCTGGTTCTGGCAAGTTTGTATGGAAGGTGGACTCACTGCCACGTAGAACGCGACTTGTCTCCACTATCTCACCCTCAACTTCACCTGTCACTTCTGTCGCTTCAGTCTCTTCAGTGACATCGGACCTTTCACCTTTCCCACGAGACGATTTCTCTTTTTCACTGTCATGTACTTTGGAAGACCGTTCCTTCTCTACCTTCTTTTCTTCTTCTTCTTCAGGTGTAGGATCTTCGTACAGTTTGATATCGACATCATCTGGCTGATCATCCATTTGTTCATCTAAAATTGAATGGGAATAAAGTAAATGATGAGAAACATTGTCATACATGTATAACTTAGTTAAGAGTCAAACAATTCCATGAAGCAAAACACAAAATGGGAGAAGTATATTAACCCCTTGACCTGTGATTTCTCAACTGTGATCAATACGGCTACTTTGTCATTAATAATTTATTGGAAAAAGAGAAAAATTCTCATATGTTATGCCTATGTTTCCTTTAAGTATAATAATTGATTACAGAGGAATATTTACTTTGAATTCGAGTTAACTAATATATATATTTGTTGAATCATGTTGAAACTCTGGGGTTAAATCATTTCATTGAATTGCTTAGATTAAAAATTGTTATAAATTAGCTAATTGTTAGCAACCTTCTATATTTGACGCCTGCTGTTTAGTCTGCTCCTCGGTGGCAGCGTCGAAGACCACTTCATCAAAGGCTTCTGACTTTTTAATGTGTTCATAGGTTTCACTCGCGCCACCATTGTCAGCGTCATTCTCCTTCTCCGCTTGATCATCCGGCTCGTCACGCATCAGTCCAGTTTTCAACTTCTTTGCAGACGGCTGAGTTTCGTCGTCTAGCAGACTACGGTTCTCATCGCTCTGTCCTGGCTTCCTTCGCTTCTCAATTGGCTTGGATGACTTCTCTTCACCGGAAGTGGGGGCGTTCTCTTCCTTCTTACCGCCGGAATGCCCTTGTCGCTGTTCCGTTTGCGCCTGACCGGTTCCTAAAAGATTTCACAATGACAAGATGAGAACTGTTTGCGAAAAAAAAAACTATTTAATCCTTTGCACTGGAGAGGTGACTCTAAGTCATTAGATTTGATGTATCAAAACTATCGTCTTATATATAATATACTCTGTACAATGTGTCAATATGTGAGACATTCAGATAAATTAGCTTAATTATTAAGTTAGCTTTCAATTCAAATTATTTTCAGTTCAATGATTTTTTCTCAATTGAACTTTGGCCATTCTATACTGTAAAATTGGCCATTCTATGCTGTAAAATTGGCCACTGTCAATTTTACAATCAGGAAAGCAGTAAAGTCAATTCAGAATATACGACTAAGCTTGTAAAATAATTTCAAGTTACAATTTCAAGTCTTCTGGCACCTTTAGAAACAGTCTTCATTTACCTATGCTTCCACATTCCTTAATTAGAAACATCATCGTTCATATCTCACTGAAGAATGTATATTTCCAAGGAAAACCTGTCCAGTGCAAAGGGTTAAAATGAGACTAACGAAAACTACCTTTATCCTTTTTATCATCTGCACTGATCTCCGTCGACTCGGTTTCCATGTTCTTGTCGTCTGACTGGCTTTCGACAGCATCTCTGGAGCCATCTTTCCTCGACTCGACTTCCTGCGAAGCATCCATTTCTTTGCTGCTCGCGTCCAAACTGGCTGACACTTTCTCTTCCTCTGGTTGCTTGTCTTCCTCCATACTCTCCTCTGGCACATCATTATCCTTATCCTCTTTACTAGCTTCTGTCTCGTCCTTCTTATCAGTATCAGCTCGAGGATCCTCCTCTGCATCAGTACCATCTTCATCAGTATCATCATTCCTATGTTCATCTTCCTCTTGACCATCTTCTTTGGACTCTTCTGGTTCCTTTTCTTCTGGGGCTTTAGACTCCTTTATCTGATCTATATCAAACGGATTTTCTTCTTGATCTTCATTGTCCTTGTCCTCTTTCGTTTCGTCGTCCAAATTAATGTCCTCTGGGAGGTTAAACGCTTCCGGCTCGATCTCTGGCTGCTGTTTCCCATGATAAGGGTCTATCTGGTCATCGTTTACCTCGGGCTCCTTGAATTCGTCGATTTCCTTCTTCTCCTCTTCTTTCATCCCACCTTCCTGCTCCCTTTCTCCATCCTCGTTCTTATCTTTATCCTCAGCCCCATCTTTTCCTCCCATTTCCTGCTCACCTGTCTCCTCCCCGTTGCCCTTCTTTTCCTCATTCTTCTCTTCTTGATCCTCTTCCTTTTCTTCCTCCTCGTCGTCCTTCCACAGCTCTTCATCAACTGTCTTATCAGGATAATCAAGTTTCCCCATTTCCTTATCAAGATCGTCAGTACCGTCCTCGTCGCTTTCCTCTTGTTCATCAGGATTTAAGTCCTGCTGATGACTGTCAAAGTTCTCCGACATCTCGATACCTTTGTCTTCCTCCTTGCAGTCCTTCTTCTCACTCTCCTGTTTCTCTTCGTTAGGACCTATCGTGTCCTCTAACTGATCCTCAGATTCTATTCTGTCTGAAACGTCTTTTGTCCCTTCACCGTCAGCCAATCCCATTCCTCCCTCGCTTGGACCACCATCTTGGCTCTCTTCGGCATCAGGAGCGTCTTCCGGCTGGCAGAAACCGTTCTTCGCTAACTCAAGGAAGACGTTCAACTGTAGATAAAGTAGCTTGCAAGTCAGACGGTAGGAAGCTATCAGCTCATACATATAATAATGAACCAGAAGGCTGAATTGTTGCAGCAGTGGCAAGTGCTGCGGAAGTGTCCTGAAAGGAATAATATTATTAATTCTCTGGTATCCGTATAACAGAATAAAGCTGCGAGAAAGGAATTTACCTCTTCCAAAAAGTAATACTTCGGTGAATCATGAGCTTACTGATATTAACCTTCTGGCAGTCCACTTTTATACATCTAAGATCCCATATCAACGACCTTACCAATCTTCCCGTCAACAAATTCTTTTCAGACTCCTCTTCAGATTCTTCTTCGACATCCTTTCTCCCTTTATTCGTTGCCCGAGTGCTTCGTCGAAGCTGCTTCTGAATCCCAAGAAGCAAAGAGTCGACAAGTTTCTTCAACTGATATTCCTCTTGGTTTATAATGTAAGTATACACATCATCCTTGTTCTTCATCAGTAAGTCCATTAAGGACTCAAAGCACTTAGTCTTGCTGGTGATGTTCTCCACGATGCAACGAACATGGCAAGCGACAGGATGATCCTCTGTGAACACGGAATTCAGACTGACCATTTTCTCCTTCACCTCGTTGATCTTCCGAAAGCATGTCCTAAGGAAATCAACGTTCTCCCTCTGCATCAACAAAGACAGACCGTAGCTACGTCTGAGCGCGACTTCGAAACACTCGTAGAACTCCTGCGACAAACTCGCTACCACTTTCAGGGCGTCCTTTACGAGCACTGCCGAATCGACAGCGCTCTGTCTTGAAACGGGTCTCGCTCCCTTGTTCATGTCAAGGAGACTTTCCTCGTCGACAGGCTCCGAAGGACAGCTTTCCAAATAGACAACGATCTGCTTCATGGTCAGTTCCAGCCATTGAAGGAAATTCTGCACATTCAATGACTCCATGTCGTTAACGTCCCTCTCGGTGATATACAACGTGTCGGATTTCCTCCAAGTTTCCACGTACTTGTGGACACTCCACATTTCACTTTTAAGATTAATGAGGGATTGGTAGAGAAACTCAGAAATCATCCTCTTCTGCTCGTTGGCCAGGACGATCAGATGAACGGAGTATCCCCGCAAACGCTCCATGTTCCGCGTTCCAATGTCGCTTTTCCCGGACTTCAAGATGCTGTCCAGGAAGCCGAACTTGATCAAGGACTCGAAATAATATTTCTCAGCGTCGGACGCTTGCTCGACGAACCCTCTGTCTATGTTTCCATACAGATCCTTGTCCAGCGCGAGGTACCACATATTCTTCGGCTCCAACAACGAAGCCAACTCCACGTCATCATACGTCTCACACCGCCAGGCTAAGTCGCCGGCTCGGTAAGACAGTCCAAGCTTGTTCAGCGACTTGAAGTAATTCGACAACGCCAATTTCTTCTGCTGGAGGATGCTCTTCGCTTGCGACCGTTGCTTCTCTTTCGTCAGAGTCTTGTCCACTTGTAAGCTCCTCAACTTCTTGCTCTCCTCCAGGCTGTCCTCTATGAAAGCCTCAATGTCGTGTCTGATCTGGGAGTACCCGCGCTTGCTGAAAATATCCTCGCAGAACTGGCGAGCTTTCAGAGCCAGTTTCTCGCCTTTGCGCAGTTCACCGGTTCCAAGTTGCACCAAGAAATCAGCAGGGCCTAGATCTCTGCTGACGAACGAGTCCAACGATTCCGGACCGGTTGGCACGGTCAAGTGGGCAGCGACGTGCTCCTGCAGACACTTCCGGTACTCTTTCGCCAGCTTGTGCAGCGTTCTGCGCGTCTTCTCGGCGGTGTTCTTCACAGACCAGTAGCTGACGTCGTTCCACCTGGTGATCTTGACGGTGTCCCTCACCTTTCTGGCGATCGGTTCTTTCATCGACTTTATCTTGTTCCTCACGCCGTTCAGAAATGGACGGTAACGATGGTAAATGTTCCAGAGCATATGGGACACCTCGCAAGGATGGGCCATGTGACTGTACTGATACAGAGTGTAAAGCAGTCGAAGCCTGGGTTCGAATTGGATTAAAGGTGATTTCGTCAGGAGCTCGGTGAACATCGTCGTGTAGTATTCCCTGTTATTGATGAATTCGGAGAAAGGACACTCTGCGGTTGAAATTACCGATAGCCAACGGTACATCAGGAACCACCACTTGGAAGACTCCGCTCTCAGGTCATCCTCGAGGATCTCCAGCGAGTCCTTCCACCTGGACAGCTCGAGTTTCCTCCAATAAAGGATCTTCCTGCCGAGGAACTCGATGAACTCTGCCAGGCTGACGTCGGAACGGGCGTTCTCCTCCCATTGCTGGATCTTGTTCAGCAGCAACTCGAAGCCTACCAGGAACCTGAGCAACGACGAGTCGATCGGGAAGCCCAGCAGCCTCTCGATGATCTGCTTGACGGAATACAAGAGGGGATTCTCTGGCCACTCCTCCAGGAAGCTGTCGACCCTCTCGGTAAGCCTCTCAAGGTACGGATAACATTCCTCCGCCTCACTGACGTTTGGGTCTCTATAAAAATCGTAGACGTCCTTGCGTCCAACCCGTGAATCCGACTTTGTCGACATCAGGACAGACATGCTGCTGATCAACGGTGTGCGCCAGTTTGTCTGCCCCGTTCCAACGCCCTCGCTGAACAACTGGAACCGTTGCACCAAGGGACTAACGAAATCTGTTTCCGAGCGTTCCAAATGCTGTGGTTCCTTCGAATTCCTTGATCTACTCGTCAACGCCTCCAAGTAGCTAAAATTTACACTGTCCCAATTGTCAAACATGGTCTGGATACTCCTCACAGCCTCCTGCTCTAACTTATGAGGAACCTCGACGCAGTCATCTATCTTGATACTAGCCTCTGATGGCTTCTGGGAAGCCGGGGCTCCCAGCTCCAGGAAGTCCTGCTGGTAGCTGGGGAACAGGCTCCGGTACTCTTCCTCCTCCTTCCTCTCCGCCTCCTTCTCATCCTCCTTCACTACGTACCAACTCTTCTCCGTCAGCGATATGCCCGTGACACACCTGGCCGTGTACCATGCAATGCATAATTTGTCGAATATCGGAGCGTACTCGTCATCCGACATGTGGCCATTATAAGCTCTCGCGACAGTGGACCAGTTCTCTAATTCTCGAAGAGCAACCAGTACCACCCTGTATTGCAGGTTAAACTGCCTGTCGTCTTCTGCTATTTTATCGTAACGGTCGCCTATGAAGGCGTCGCAGATCTCGGAAATGTAATGATTGTCGAGGCTCATCGTCAGGGGGAAACTCAGGTAACGGTTCACCGAGGAATCGCAGGGGGAATTGTGGGAATTCTCGCACTGCAGCAGCAGGGAGACACCGTGGTGCAGATTCGAGACAGCGCTGATGATAGGCAACACCAAATCCGGGAAACCAGTTAGAAACTTCCTCTCCAGCTTCTGCCAGAACCGTCTTACTGATTTCCTCCAGACCTTGACTTTCTCCAAGGTCGCCCCTTTCTCCAGAACGTCTCCTTCTGTATCCTGGTAGGTCGCCTCCATCGACTTCACGTGCTGCGAGATGGCCGAGTCCGAGGCGACGATGTTGCTGAAGCGTTGGATCTCCTCCTTCAGGTCCAGGAAACCCGACGTCGGCCTCGCCGCTTGGAAACCCTCGAAATTCTTCATTTCCTTGGACAACCTCTGCAGATGGTTCACGATCGCCAGCTCCTGGTGCTGAAGCAGGCGGACACCTAGCACGGTTCTCTGGAGATTCTCGATCAGCATCAGGTGCTCCAGCTCGGTGATGTTCTCGCGAGTGTACTTCGACATCAGGGCCATCCTCTGCACGGGATCTATGGCTCCCACGTTCTTAAAGACGAAGAGCTGCAGCTGGCCAAGGATTATCCAACCTTTACATCGCATCAGCTTGTCGTCTGAACTTTTCAGACTCGTCACTGCTTCTTGCAGAAGTTCCAGCAGACCGTCGAGCTGACTCTTCACCGTCTGCTCTTTGTCGTTGTTCGGTACAGGCTTGTAGTCCTTCATCGCTCGTCTGATGCAGGACATGCAGTAATTCGCTGTGGACAAGAAAGTGACCCTGTCGTTCAAGTGCGGGTCGAACTCCTTCGAACCGAACACCTTAGAATTCCGCCAGACCATCGTCCGCACTGCGCTCCACAGTTTCTTTTTGTTAACGTGATTCCTGAGATTGATCGTTTGAGCCTTGGTCCCGGAATGCAGCGGGAGCAGCTCGGAGATCAGCTTCCAGAGGGTCCACGTGTTGAAGCAGTTCATCTGAAAGTTAGGAATTATTGAATTTTAACCCCTTGCCCTACAACAACGAGTGAGACTCATGATGAAGATTTTCAACATGATTCAACAAATATATATATATATATTACTCGGTTCATTCAAATGCAAAGTAAATATTATTCCTCTGTAATCAACTATTATACTTAAATGGAGATATAGGCATAACATATGTTTAAAATTTTTCTTTTTCAAATAAATTATTAATGACAAAGTAGCCGTATCGATCAGAGTTCAGAAAGAAATCATAAGCCAAGGGGTTAATAATATTGCAACATTTGATAGTAATATTTTCAATTCCGCCGCATTCAGTAATGAATAATTAACCCTTTGACGAATGCCAAGCATTGTGCAAGCAAATCATTTCACTGGTCAAGCAGAAATCAGTACATTTCCTTATTCTCTGTTACTGACGCATTCAGTATCTAATTTGTTATCTAATCTAAGCTTCTTACACTTTGGAGAATCGCCCGCGAAGGGTTAACAATGTTTACAAATGCCTTAACACATTGCGTACCGGTAACGAGAAATCTCGTTTTTATATAAAGACACTTAGCTACGCAACTTCGCTAATTACCACAGCATTGAAAAAATATAAAATTTAATTCGAATTGATTATCTATTTAAAATATATTACATAACAATATATCTGAGTTTTTCTATGTATAGTGATATAAGTTGACTTCAGTGAAAATTGCCATTCGCACAATTCAGTTTTCTGAAAATTAGCCGGTACGCAATGTGTTAACAAACATACCTCACAATCAACGTTGCTATCCTTATCCTTGTTCATATCCTCACTCGTGTCCTTATTTATATCCTCATTCGCATCCTCCTTATCCTTCTTCTCCTTCTGGTCAAACAGCTGCAGAAAAGCGTCGCAGTTCCCCGAAGCAGCCGTGCGCAGCGAGAAGTCCTCGAGCAAAGCGGAAAACTCGAAGAGCAAGCAGATCCTCCGTTTCTTAGGCAGCTCTTCCGAATTCAAACTCTTCATTAAACCGATCAAACGAACAGGTATCGTCGGAACGGTCTCAAACTTCTCAAGTATCCGTTTATCATAATCCCCATCAATATCCTCGTCGCAAGAACCTCCATTCAATTCCTCCCAAATCACCAAACCATCATCTCCATCATTCCCTTGCGAGCATTCCGAGACCAGCTGCTTGCTCAGCTTCTTTTGAAAGTACAGAGCGTAAGTCATGAAGAAAAACTCGTAGATCGGCCATATCTCGATCTCCCAGCAGTCCTTGAGCCTGTTAACCTCTTTTGCACCGATCTCTTTGAGTGTCACGATCTCTGCGGCGATATTCTCCAGCTCCTCCGAGTTTTCGATGGCTCGGTCATCCCGGAAGCTCTCCGCGAGGATTTCAATCAATTTCCCTCTGGCCCTTCTGTTCTCCGGCAGAGCCAGCGAGGCGATCTTCAGCCGCGTCTTCGACAGCTCGATCAGGTCCTCGTCCGTGACCTCGAGCATTCTCGAGGTCGACCTCAATTTCTCGTGGAACCTCATCGTCTCTTCTGTGAAATGTGGCTGCGGCGCCGGCAGAAATGTCCGGATGTTGTCTTGAATGCTGTGCCGCTTGTTTACGTCCGTTGTGGAGTTGAAGTATTGGTCTAACGAGTCATTCCATTGTTGTGGATCCCGAGGGTCGGAAGGACTTGCTTCCAACACGGAGGTCAGCTTGTCGAATAACTCTGATAGCCACTCGTAGTGGATTTCCAATTGTGAAGTGATTTCTCGCAGGTCGAAGAAGGTGCCCTGGGTCTTGTCGACTAATGGGATGGTCCCTAGGTCGTAGAATCTTCGGTACCATTTTAAGAGATCTCGGAGTACCACGTAGTTGAGGCTGGTGATGTACAGGTTTGGGTTATGGAGGGAACAGTTAATGACATCCGCTGAGTTCTCCAGTATTTTTACGAAGTTGACGATGATGTAGTTGTCTAGCAGGTTGCTGGTTAGATCACCTGGAAGAAGGGAATTAGTGATTCGATGGAAGCTTGGAGAGTATTTGGTTAATTAGTTTGTAATGAAATTTTGGGCTTTTATGTCTCGAATGTAGAGATTGAGATACTCGGACATTGAAACATTGAAACATTGAAATACTCAAATATACAAATATTCAAATATTCCAACATTGAAACACTCAAATATACAAATATTCAAATATTCAAGCATTGAAGTATTCGAACATTTACCAAATATTTACGAAATTCAACAAGAGTCAAATTGACTTATTCCGTCAATCCAGTATTAATTATCCCATAACAACCATTAAATGTACATAAACGCGAGTATTACTCGCTGAACAAACGCAAAGTTGCGAGGCAACTCTCACCCTTCGTGGCGGCAAGCGAGTAATCCATCAGCAGCATGATGTTATCATCTCTCTGAATGACCCGCGACTCGCAGTCGAATGTCATCGCCGAGAAATACAAGGCGAGCATGAGGTTGTTCTGATGCCAGCCGAGCGAAAACTCCAGAGACGCATTCTTATGGAAGAAGATGTTCAACTCGTTCACTCTCTTGTAGAGAACCTCGGCGAGTTTCCCGAAACTGTCGGAGTCATTTTTCCCGAAAATAGACGAGCACCGGGCGCGCCGGAACTCCTTGTCGGTGAACGATGATCTCCCGTAGAAATCGAGCAAAAGGAGCTTCACGAATTCCTTGGTGTCCGTAACCGGAGGTTTCTCGAACAGGTCGAAATGTATTTTCGCCGGGTCGTATCTGGAAAAGTCGATCGGACGAGATTGTACGTAAGTGAATTCCTTCGAGCAGGGTAAATTAATTTCGAACCCCCTGCAGTGGGAAGGATGGCGATTTATTTTGATGACAGAGGTCAGAGGTGAATTCATGTGGTACATATATTATTCTTTCTTTAACCCTTTGCACTACAAAGTTTTTCAGTGGAAATATTTAACATTTTTCGACGAGATATAGACGACACTGTTTTAAACTAGAATTTTGCTGAATCTACTACCTTGTTAACTTAATGATTTAGATAGATAGATCTAACTTGCTAATTCATTAACTCATTGACTCAAAAATTCATCTAACTCGCTAATTCATTAACTCATTGACTCAACAATTCATCTAACTCGCTAATTCATTAACTCATTACCTCAACAATTTATCTAACTCGCTAATTCATTAACTCATTGACTCAACAATTCATCTAACTCGCTAATTCATTAACTCATTGACTCAACAATTCATCTAACTCGCTAATTCATTAACTCATTGACTCAACAATTCATCTAACTCACTAATCCATTAACTCATTAACTCAACAACTCACCTCCCTCATTAACCCAACAATTTCCCAACTCACCAACCCATAAATTCATCAACCGATCAACTCAACAATCCACCCAACTCATAATTCACCAGGCCCGCTTACCTCAGCATCTTCACAGCAGTCCTCAACAAGAACACCTGCTGATCGACGAACGCGAGCGCAGAATTCCTACAAAGATCGGAAGTGGCGGGACTAATCGCGTCAAAGTCATACAAATCGTCAACCGACCGATCCTCTCTATTGAAAGAGGACAGTATCTCTTCGACCTTTCCCATCGCTTCTCTCTTCGACCTCGGGTCGAGGGTAGCCAAGACCTCGCGATAAGAGTTCCGCACTGATTCCTCGAACGTGAACCCTTTGGTCACTTGCTGGTTGGTAAACGAAGCCGCCCGCAGCAGCTCGTCCAGACGGAATTGTTTATCGTGCAAATAATCGTGGACCTTCATGAGGGCACTCTGCTGCGTCGCACGTCGCACGCCGCATTTAGCCAGCAACGATCTGATGTCCAACGCATTGTACTCTTGCAATGATGATGCTGGCAAGATCACGATCTCCACGCCTCTGTTGCGCATGGCTCTGCGACAGTGATAATGCGTCGATTAATTGGGAGAATTATTAATGTATGTGGATTGGGATTGTCGTACAATTGTAAGATGATATTTATAAATAATAGTAACGTAGAAAACAAACAAAAATAAGGAAAGATAAATAGATACAAAGTAAATAGATAAATAAATAATAAATAAATAAACGCAACAAAAGAGAAAGAACTATGTGGATAGGGATTGTTGTGCAATTGTATGATGATATTTATAAATTATAGTAACGTAGAAAACAAACAAAAATAAGGAAAGAAATAAATAGATACAAAATAAATAGATAAATAAATAATAAATAAATAAACGTAACAAAAGAGAAAGAACTATGTGGATAGAGATTGTCGAGCAATTGTAATTTAACACTAAAACTACCATGACTGATGTCTTCTTTTTACAATTATTAGAAAGGTAACAAATGTTTCTCTGGGAAATTATTGAAGAAATTCATTTAGCACGCAAATTGAATTTTAAATCAATTAAAGTCTGAACAGATGCACTCTTGGAGTTTCTATAGCGAAATTTTCAAAAGTCAATTGAAGTTCTTGGTAGTTTTAGTGTTAAAGAAGAATATGTAAACATTTGGACTTCGTTGTTATTTATTCCTAATTAAGATTGATTGATTATTGAAATATTCTAATAAATATTGATAAATAGATTGGATAAAGATGGCTATAAAATTATGATTTACTGAGAATGAATATGTCTATGGAATAAGTAATACACAAATACTTGGACTTCATTGTTACTTCTCGCAATTCTGAAATAACATTAATAGAAAATAAATAATGAACTGATAGCTTCTATTATCTCCCTCAATCCCAAAATTTACACTACTCCACAATAAACACTGATAACCAAACTAAAAACTTCTTACAGAATCGCAATTTACCAAGAACAAAATGTAAAAGCTTGCAATTCTGTTCCTTTCTAATTCGCGAAGCGTTTCCTCTTTCTTTTCCGACATTTTATTTTGGATTTCGACGAGACTACGATGGAAATGAATTTTTTACAATCATGCTCGGACCATCGAGACCGGGAATAGGTAAGATCAGCGTGAATTCCTCTAATGGCGCCGGATTACCTGGAGATCTCGCCGTAACGAGGGTTCATAGTGAAGAACAACCGGAAGTTCGGGTGGGGCTTGATGGCGAACGCGTTCCCATGCTCGTCGACACCTTTCTCGCTTATTGCCAGGATACCGTTCGGCTCCAGCAGCCCGTTCAATCGGTCCAATACCGCCGGACTGCAGAGATTTACTTGGTCGAGCAGCAGCCAGGTGCCATTTTGTAGACACTGGAAAGAGCGTGGGTTAAGTAACGACCGACACGTGTTATTGTCCTCGTAAAAATGATTGATCGCGCGGTAAAAGCGTCCTAACATCTGGAATATCGATGTTCGATCTTCAAAATCTCCGTTATCAACTAGAAATTGCCTCTAACTATCGAGGCAATGTTGAAATTCCTTGGAATTTTATTAAATTCGATATTAATCGGAATAATTTGATATTGTTATCCTTTATAAAGCGTTCAGCGAATGTACATTTTCAAGAAACTAATGCTTAGAAATATTCTTTACTAATTGAAAAATTTAGCTATCGAAATTCTATGAAAACTAAATGTATTAAATTTCAAGTGATACTAGAAGCTTCGTAATATTCGACAAACTAATACTTAGAAATATTACCAATTGAACAATTTTTGTTATCAATATTGATCCTTAGAATTGAATTCAATTAAGTCTCTAAAATAATTCTATAAACTCAGTTGCTTTCTACGAAAACTAAATATACTAAATTTCAAGTGACACTAGAAGCTTCTTAACATTCGACAAACTAATAGAAATATTCTTTACCAATTGAAGAATATAGTTATCGATATTGATCCTTAGAATTGAATTCAATTAAGTCTCTAAAATAATTCTATAAACTCAGTTGCTTTCTACGAAAACTAAATGTATTAAATTTCAAGTGATACTAGAAGCTTCTTAACATTCGACAAACTAATAGAAATATTCTTTACCAATTGAAGAATATAGTTATCGATATTGATCCTTAGAATTGAATTCAATTAAGTCTCTAAAATAATTCTATAAACTCAGTTGCTTTCTACGAAAACTAAATATATTAAATTTCAAGCGACACTAGAAGCTTCGTAATAAAAATGAATGTCTAAAAATACTCCACTAAAAATTATCTATAACCATCTCTAATCATCGACGAAAGAGCCATAGCAACTCCCTAGAACAATCCAAAAGCACAGGTGTAATTGTAATTTTATTTAAACAGAATTTAGCTGAACTAGAATTAAACTAAACTATCTGTTTTAATCTATTCTACGCAGTAGCTGTTCGACGTTGGTCTACTCTGACCTACTCCTCTCGACTCTCAAACTACACTGCACCCCAAACGCCTTACAATCACCTTAAATACTAATCCTGTCAACACGGGGCATGATTCTGTAGGTCATTATCGTCCGCCCGCGAATCACCCGAATCCCAAGTGGTAATAAACCGAGTATACCTGAGGCATCCCTTCTGCGTCGCGTCCCACAGACCAATTAACCCTTTGTCCTACGATTTAATTTAGCAATTGCACTTGTTAGAACTACTTTTCGTTAATACACTATCAGAACAAATGATTCTATGCTCTATTCTATGCTCCACTCTAACAAGAAAAATAATGTTGCATTTGAACTTAAAAGAACTGAATAACATTTACACGTGTGAAACCACATTAGAAATCTTCGCAACGAGTCTGACACGATATTGAAAAGCAAGGGGTTAACACCTTGAATGCCATGGTGAATGCAATGCTGTAATCCAGTGAATGAAACGATGATTATTTGCAACCTTTTTATATTAAAAAAATGTTTATACTTTAAACAATACTAACACGGTGACATTACCCGAGATAAATGCGCAATGAAACGATTCAATATAATTTCATATTATATTCCTTTCATTCAAACGCGCGGCATTCAGCGTGTTAACGAAACAATATAAAATAATAAGAAGCTTCTCGTAACAAAGAATAAAATAACAAAAGGGCTCAGTCGCCAGGCTCGCAAATTCGCCGAACGACGCGTCGAATTAATCGTCGGCGACCGCGAGCAAACCGGAAATCGCGTTCGCAGGCGTTCCGCGGCGGCGTCGGGCCGTTAACACTAGGTTTACGGAACGCGTCAAATCGACGCATATTGGATTTTAGAAATATTATTTTGCAAATGTTTACGCCGATTTTTAATTGATGCGATTACACTGACAAATCTCCAGTTTCCACAATCTAAATAAACGAGCATCAATTCTTTTAGGAATAATAGAATGAAGTGTACAATAAATGCCCGGAAACGTAGCGTTAAGATGAAACAAAGACAATATTTACCTTGACGAGCACGCTGTCAACCCACTCGAACTTCCCGCCAGCGTTCAAACATTTCTCTTTTTTCACGGCGACCAACAGATCGGCCAGCTTCTGCTTGATCTGCTGCAGCTCCGCCTCGCGTTCGCGCGACAGCATTTTCATGACCGACACCAGCTTCGATAATTCCTCGGTTTTACGGAGGAACAGTTCCGTTTCCGTGGACATCGTCGTCTCCTTTGTTCTACCGTCGTCTATACCGTGGGAAGGGAAACATCGCGGATCGTGAATATCGACGAGCGAAAACGTACGAAGGCAATTGCAAACGTTCCGAATGGGGCTGTTTTTCTGGGAGAGTAATCTTTGTTCCGTTGGCGAGTCATCTTTGGGATGTGGTAGTTCAAGATTGGGTATCTGGGGTAATTTTCCTCTTTTTTATTGTTGCTTTAGTGCGTTCGTTTTGGTAATGTTTGATTTCGTGAACTGAATTTGGGAATTTCTCTATTTTGATGTTTTTGTGATTCTATTTTGAGTCTATTTCGCTGTTCCTTTATTATTTCTGTGTTAGTTATATTTTAGAGTATAATTGCTTCTATTTTATTAGAATTTTGTTTCCTTATTGAATTATTCCTATTTTACTATTCTTCTATTATTTCTACAGCAGTAATTAACTATTTCTATATCATCGGCGTTTTCCTTATTTCATTATTCACTATTCTTTTATTATTTCTACATTATTATTTCTACAGTAGTAATTAATTATTTCTATATCATCAACGTTTCCCTTATTTCATTATTTATTCCACCACTATTTTAGTATTTCTACATTACTATTTCTACAGTAGTACTTAATTATTTCTATATAATCAGCGTTTTCCTCATTTCATTCTTCTATTATTTCTACATTACTATTTCTACAGTAGTAATTAACTATTTCTATATCATCAACGTTTCCCTTACTTCATTATTCATTTCATTATTCTTTTATTATTTCTACATTACTATTTCTACAGTAGTTAATTATTTCTACTCCATTATTATTTCGCCACTATTCCATTACTTCATTACGTCTACTTTATTATTTTACTATTCCCATTTCACTACCCTCTCATTCAATTCTTTCATTACTTCTATTTGACTATTCCGTTTCTATTTTATCACCGTCCCATCCCATCACCTGGTCATTCCCATTTCACTGACATCCAGCTCCATCGGTTTATTATTCCCATTTCATTACCATTTCACCCAATTATTCCACCGTTTCGATTTACCTCTCCGCTAATACCCTAATTCTACTCTTTCCCGCGGAGGAGAAAAAAAATAGAAGGAGGAATCGTTTCGACAAAAGTAAAGCGACTCGGTGAGATCACGAAACGAAAGAGATAAGGTACCTTTAGACAAATGTCGGACGTTCTCCAGGAGAGCATGGTAATAGGACACCTGATCCAAACAGCCCTCCAGCAGCATCCTCCTCAGGATTTCGATTAACAGCGTCTCGGTGCGATCCAGCAATTCCTCGAAGTGTCGATCGTAATCCGTCTGCAACGTGAAAAACGCGATGGAGAATGGTTCGCTCGAATCCTCCGTTGAAACGGCTTCATTCGTTAGCGTTTCCCCGTTTCCAGCTTACCGATCTCTTTGATCGTTGATTCACTTGAGAATTTGAATGGGTTTACTAGCTTGTTAACTAATGATTCAGGTGGATCATTAACCCAACAATTCACCTAACTCACTAACTCACTAACTTACTAATTCGTTAACTCATTAGCTCAGAAGTGCCGATCGTAATCCGTTTGTTTCATTCAATCAGTTGATTTGGCTGATAGAGTGAACTTAGCTTGAGAATTTGGATGGATTTATTAACTTACTAACTCAATGATTCAGGTGAGTCATTAATGCAACAATTTACCTAACTCACTAACTCACTAATTCATTAACTTATTAACTCATTAGTTGAGAAGTGTCGATCGCAATCCGTCTGCAACGTGAAAAACGCGATGGAAAAGGTTCGCTCGAGTCCTCCGTTGGAACGGCTTCATTCGTTAGCGTTTCCGCGTTTCCGGCTTACCGAACTCTTTGATCGTTTAACTCTTTGAGAACGGGGAGTCTTTGACGTGTACAGACGTTCGCAGATGAAGTCTAATTATTGATCAGGTATTTCGATAATGGGGAAAGAAACTGTACGGATTCATCTCCGTTTGATTAATCCCTTCTCGTGTAATATCCGATTGGACTTCGGATGGACATTTTAGTAATGAAACGAACAAGATGGAATGAAATGAAATAAATAATAAAATGAAATCATATAAATAATACAATGATATGAAATGAAATGTAATAGGATAAGATAAGATAAAGTAAAATAAAATAATATAATATAGTATAAAATAAAATAAAATAAAATAAAATAAAATAAAATAAAATAAAATAATATAATATAAAATGAGATAATATGAAATAAAGTAGGATAAGACAAAATAAAATAAAATAATATAAAATAAGATAATATGAAATAAAATAAAATAATATAAAATAAGATAAGATAAAATAAATAATAAAATTTCATCGACTAAATGTTATTTCTCATATAAATGAATCGTCACTTGCTCATTATCAGTCCTCAGCCATCAAAGTAAACGTAGACACAGAAATCATCAAATTCTCATCTTTCTCTACTAAATTATCAACAAACTAGTCTCATCAAGCGCAGATATCGAAGAAATTACTTGCGAGCAACTCAGTATTCCAAATATGAAAATTCCATCTCGACAAACGCGAATATTCGTCCCCAAGGGTTTAAACGTTGCTCGCAAAGTAAAGAGATCGAAGAAGCGAGCAGAAACGAATCGAATAAATCTGTTATTAGCTGCCTTAAACTGTTAATTGTAATTCCGCTCACGAGCCGTGTAGCAACGGCGGAACTTAGACCGAATCTGGGACGAATAATTCCGGCGGACGTGATGAGATTCGAATTTTATTATTAGACCGCGCGGGGCTCCATGGAAATCCGCATTGACATAGGGAAATTCGATGAAAACTCCGAATTAAATAAGGTCCCGGAAGCGGACAGAGAGACCGCTTAATTCCGCGTAACTTCTCGAATGTTATCAGACGTTATGAATGCGCGATGCTGTAGATTGCATTGGATATTATAAATCGTAGTTAGTTTCTGCTGCAGTGCATGTGTTTATGAATTTATGATGAAAGTGTACTGTTCAACCCTTTGAAGACGAAGCTTCTTTGAAATATAGAATGACGATGAAACAGATGAAGCTAAATTATATATCGGTTGATTAGATAATTGGAAAAGGAGACTATGTATTGATCTCCTGCTGTTTTAGTAATTAACCATTTGCGGACCTATGTAGGTAGTTTGATGAGATGAAATTTTCATATTTGGAAGACTATGTCGTGGAAAAATAATCTAATTAGTCAAACAGTAAGAGATTAGCACGTAGTTTTCTTTCTTTTTACTAATTAAGCAATTGATGTATAATGTAACTTCGTATGTTGAAGGTTTTGTATGTTTCAAAGGGTTAAAACAGAGAAACTAAGAAATAGAGTTGCAAGGATGATTCTGAACGGTGAAAGGAACTTCCCCTTTAATTAGGTTTCTCGAAAATGATTTATAGAAATCGAAATTTGTACGAAGATCAGCAATCTAGTAATAATTAGGAAATAGAGTTTAGAGTTTAGAGTTGAAAGAAATATTCTGAACGATGAAAGGAACTTCTTTAATTAGGTTTCTAGAAAATAATTTATAGAGATCGAAAATTGTATAAAGATCAGTAATCTAGCAATAATTAGGAAATAGAGTTTAAAAACTAGAGTTGCAAGAATTATTCTGAACGATAAAAAGAACTTTCACCATTTTCTCGGAAATAACTTGCGAAAATCGAAATTTGTATAAAGATCGGTAATCTACAAATAATTAGTAAATTAAAATGAGTAAGAATATAATTAGAACACGAACTAACAATAGAGAATGATTATTCGAAAGAAACATTACGAGAATCATCGCGCTTCGATGCAGTTTATACGACTCTCAGCTGCCAGATTCACGAAAAAAAAAGCATAAGCAGAACATCTAGTTATTCTTCGATATTCGACCGCGTCGTTTAGTTTGTTGATGCCGTTTTGAAATTCGTTTCCCGTCGCCAGCGAGTTTCCCTCGTTTTATTGTCGATCGATCCGACGATGCGGCTGCACGGTAACGAGCAAGATCGAGTCCTTCCTCGGAATCGATTTAGGGGAGAGATGGGCTGCCTTCGCGAGTCGAATGCCATGTTATCAGGTTTGTTACACACAGATAGGGGGAATCCCGTGGCAAAGATGGACGCCGAAAAATCCATACTCCGAAGGGGATGGGGTCAACGGAGACGCATCAATCACTTTGATTTCACCCCACCAAGAATAATCTTGACCGACAGCGGTCTTCGCGTGGATCTTTCTTTCCCTCCTTCATGGTTTCTGCGTCAATTCGTGCGGATTTTAGGGGAGTTTAATTATTTCAATTTTTTTGCGTGATTAAACGTTACTCTTTTGTGATTAATTATTGGAGTCTGGAGTTCTTTCGCTTTTGGGCTGGAATTTTGTTTCTACTTGCTATTAAGCATTCAATCGTTAATTACTTGGTTTTTAAGTCGTGGAGAAGATTACGTAGGAAATTGAATTATCTTCAATTCTAGATGAAAGAAATCTACTTAAATATCAAAGTATAACAAAAGTATAACATACAAAAGTATAACAAATGTGTCAATTCATGGAGATTTCAAGGAGTTTAATTATTTCAATTTTCTGATGTAATTAAACATTATTCATCTGTGATTAGTTATCAGAGTTCGGATTGGAATTTTATTTCTACTTGCCATTAAGCATTCAATCGTTAATTAATTACTTGGTTTTTAAGTCATGGAGAAAATTACGTAAGAAATTGAATGATCTTCAATTCTTCCAGATAAAAATCTACTTAGATATCATTTCTCTTTTTTCAAAGCTTTAAATCAATCGTTTCCCAAAAGTATCCCCAAGAAAACCGATTAAAACCAATCCCACCATCGACGTTTTAATTCGACGACAAACGATTGTTAAACGTGACAAAGTGAAACGCGCGTTCCCCCATCGAAAGTCGGCGAAACGACCGAATTAAAGACGTATTAAGTTTGTCATGCTAAACCCCATACGCTCCGACCCTTTCCCTTCTCCGCGATTGATTTTCTACGGCACTGCGGAGACCGCATCTCTTTTATCTATAGCCTGTGGACAACATTCCTCCTCGAACATTTCCCGAGCCGGCTGAGTCATTACCACCGATCATTAAGCTGTAAATTTATGCTCGTAGCGAGCGTGCCACCGTGAAATGCAATAACGTGCGAACTTTAATGAAGCTGTACACTTTAATTCCCTTCTTAACCAATTAAACCCTCCATGAACGACGCTAAAAGCACGAAAATTTGCAATTTACCGCCGTCACGTGACTTCCATATGAACGAAACCATAACTTACGACTTATATTTTATCAATTAAAGGAGATTAATTGAACCTTGCTTCGAAATAGTCGAAATATATTGGAATATATCGATTAAAACAGTCAAAAGACCACTAAATTGTAATCGAAAAAGTTTCTACCTTTGAATTACTATAATTTTGTTATAGAAACTCGTGCGATATTGTACCTAGGCTCATTTTAAAGGGTGAACCTTCTACTTTCGCACCTGACAAGTCACTTTTATCTATTATAATTCTTCTGCATATAACAGCCGAGACAGCGAGCATACTTTCTCGTTTTTAAAACAGCACCGCTTCAAACGCCTCGACGAACGTCGAACAATTTTTACCAACACTGAAACCACAGCAGATTTAAACATTAACCTCCCCCCTTTGCAACGACCCCTTAAAACTGAACGCGCCACTTTCCCTCGCGGTTTTATTCAACCAGAAACGTAAAGCGTACCGTAAAATTCATAAAGTTTCAATAGTAAAAAAGTACGTCCGCCGTCAGGTTCGCTACATAGAGAAAGAACACCGTAGAAAAACCTAACTTACAGGACACAAACTAGAAACTACCCCCTTTAAAACGAGCCTAGGAAGACTATCGCGCGACTTTTCACGGGAAAGTTACAGTAGTCAAAAGAGGAACGACATCTCGACCGAACATTTCGTAATTTCACGCAGAAATCCGGGGAAATCCCCGAATAAAATGTTTGCGGAGGTATTTCTCCGACTGTTCTGAAGGCAGCACGGTTCAGCGAGGATGGTGGAAGACAATACGTTTCGAGATTGATCGTTCCCCGTCGCGGTAACGACGGGACAAATGAATTCTATTACCGTCTCGTTCCCGCGACAAGGGAGATAAATCTACTGTCGCGTGAAATAAGGATCGCTTCTTAATGATCCCGGGCCGGGGAGGCACGTAGAGGAGTTTTGAAGCGGCGCGTCGGCCAGCCGCCGGTCAACCGTTGCCCCGGAGCGGATATCGCATTTGGGACGTGGATTTCATTCTTTCTAATTTGTCCTTTCGCGCCGGCGAGATTGAAAGC